TTGTGCCTATTAAATGTTTTGCAGAAATATTTTGGTGCAGATGATTGATAATTTGGATTTTAGGATGGCTGGCTGGAGCTTTCTGAAATTTTTTGGTTTTCTCCTTTTTTGGGTGCTTATGCTTGAGCACCGTAGAATGTACCTAGGTAATTTTGTATTGTTCTGTAGTGGGAAACTCGAGATTGTTGGTTTATTCTTTCTTTCTATGATTGTAGTTCTTATGAGCAGTACAAAGCTAAAGGACCCTTTAAGGATGATGTACCCTTTTTCTTAATCAATGCATTGCGTTGCCCCTCAGTGGATTTTTCTTATATAATATATATATATATATATATAAATATATAACCTCTAAAAATGTTAAAGATATGATATATATCATATAAAATATTACATGTGAAAGTTTATTAAAATGGGAGTTATTATATTTTCTTTAAAATTCTAAGGAGGTGAAATTGGTTAAATATGAAATTATATGAAACAAATATAGGGTGAAGATTACTACTATGATCAAAATACTTTTTCATAATTAAAGTGATGGATAGAAATGCCCTTAATCAAATATTTCTCTCTCCTCTCTCTACATCCGCTCTTCCACTTCCTCTCTCTTTATTTCCCTTCTCTCTCATAGTATGAATAGTATAGAAAATGTGAAGTTAATGACTTTCATAGGGTTTAATTATAATTGGTTGTATTTATTTAAAAATAAAATAAAATATTAGACCCATTAGTGTGACGCTCTAGACTCGAGCATCTCTACACTCACATAAATTTTTGAAAACCCAAGAGCTTGGTGTCATAATGCCCATAAGCTTAATACTATAATAGTTTGTTACCTAATTTTTATGAATTTTAGTAAAACAAAACTTATATTCACTATGAATCTCTAATTGACAAAATAAAATTACTTACCTTCTAGCACACTAATCATAGCAACTAAATCATATATCATTCATCTCACACATGTATGCATTTATGACAATCTATCATATTAAATATAATGTATTCATGTCAATCATAAAAAATAATATTCAAAATAGATATTCATATGAGAAGAATCTCTCAGATGCATATCTCATTTCCTATTAACTCAAACTTTCATTATATTGTACTAGAGGTACTATCATCACTACAGTGGGGCTATCTCTAGCTTTCACTCATATTTCTTCCAATCATCCAACTTATGGAACCTTGACTGGACATTTAGATCCTTTAAGTCTCTATCCATATACATGTCTGGATTGATCAGTCATGAATCCATCCATATATGTCTTCATATTCCCTCTTAAGTACCTAATCATCTTATGGAATTTAGAGAACCCTTTCTAAAATTCGAATCGCTGAAAAAGATTTTCTAAATGGTTGACCATTTTAAAGATTAATATCATTATACACCTCTTAAACATATTGCAAACCCTATCTTAGATTCAATTCAGCCATGCATAAATAAACCTACCATCCAAACTAATAACTTTGAATAAAAACCTATAACCATTCATATGGTACATAATTCTTTGTTGGGGGGAACTCACATTCAAGATCCTAATCTATATTTAACGAGATTCTTAAAAAATTATGTATATTTTTAATTAATAATGGTGTTATTGATGAGGTCCATTAAACTTAGATTATTCCCATTTCCACATTGAGACAAGTAAAAAATGTTGTTAAAATCATTACCCCAAGGCACAACTACCATATGGAATGTGTTCACGAATAAATTTTTAGGAAAGTATTTCCCACCTTCTAAGACTAACAAATTTAGATATGATATTACTTCTTTTACTCAGTTAGAAGCAATTCCATTTATGAGAGTTGGGAGAGATTTAAGGAAATTTTTAGGAAATGTCCTCATCATGCCTTACCTATTGGTTAGTAATTCAAATTTTTATAATGGATTTATAAGATCCCTTTGAGCTATAATTGATGGTGTTGGTGAGGTTTATTAATGTCAGATCCATTTGATGAGTCTTATGAATTAATTGATGAAATGGAAATAAATAAGTTCTAGTGACCTACTGATATGGTGAATTCAAAGAGAGTGGCAAGAGTCTATGAAAATGATTATTTATCTATTCTGACTATATAAGTAGCAGTAAAATCTAATAAGTTAAGCACTTTGGATTAAATTATGATTCATCTTTACACTTGGAAGATAAAAGCTTAACGGAAGAAAGATATTCAAAGGTTCAAAATATAAATTTGATTAGAAGATAAAATAATCTCTACTCAAATAGATATAATCCATGTTAGAGGAAACACCAAAATTTTATCTGGTCTAATAATATATGGCGGAAATCAATAGAATTTTAGTCAAAATAACCAAGGAACAAATTGGAATAATCAAAATCAAAACTAATAACATTCTTAGACTAGTAAATCTCTATGATTTAATCAAACATCAGTTTGGAAGCAGAAATCACCACTTAAAGATGTGATAATGCAATTGGAATTCAATTACAAAAATCAAACTGCTTCAATAAAAACCTTAAAGTCATTAAGTTAGCTTGCAATTTTTTGTGAGTAGTAGATCTATTGGATCTCTTCCTAGCAATACTAAAGTTATCCTAATGAAAAGGAAAGGGATGCCATTAGAGCCAAATTAAAAATTAAAAACCATTCGACCCCAGCTAGATTAAAATCTAGGGAAGTCTAGTTAAGACATAAATTAGCACTTTTAGGGAGGTAACCCTATAGATTAAATTTGTGTAATTTGCTTCAAAAATTACCTTGAAAAATAAGAAGGGATCGCTGTAGTGTAGAATATGGGAAAATTATAAATTGTTATCAATAAAAGCTTAAAATTGGCATACAATCTTATACAAAATTATAAAAGATAGATGAGAGAGCTAATACAAGAGATGGTGAAATAATTAAAGTAAAAATTTAACTAATTATAAAAATGCATTATTCATTTCAACATTCAAAAGTTAAATGATTTAATCTACTATAATTTCAAACTAGGTAAATACAAGAATGATTGGTTAAGTTTACTATTAGTATTTTTTCAAACTTGAAGTATAACCCTGATTCATTTTTATTAATTCTACCCAGGGATGTATTATCCATATTTTTTAATTTAAGATTGTCACTTTTTACTTTAGTTAATTAATTAATGGGAAAACAATTTTTATTTGCTTGAGGACAAGTATAGTTTAAGCTAGGGAGATTTGATATGTGAAAAACAATGTTATATTCAAGTGTTAATTTGTTAATGAAAATGTGTTGTTTTAATTTATTTGTAAATAAAAAAATATAAGAGTGGGAAAATTTTTAAGCATTGGTATAAAGTTCCACAGTTTTGGACACAGTACTGCCATGTCCATCTTTGACACTGCCGAAGAACAAAAATGTGGACAGAGCAGTGCCTAGTCTCTATCTGGATAGTTCCACAGTGCAAGATGATATAGGGTCACAAAACCCAGTCTCTATATTGATAGCACCGTATCTCATAGG